AGCAGCAGCAGCAGCAGCAGCAGCAGCAGCGACGGGGACGGCGGACGCCAAGCCCCGCCCCCACGAAGCCCCGCCCAAGCCACTCCTCTCCGCCAAGGACGGCCTCCTCTTGGTCTCCTTCCCCCTAAACGGCGTGCTCCTTCTGGCCCGGGGAGTCGCTCGGCTCCGGCGATTCACGGTCCTCTTGCTTCTCCCCGCAATACCCGCGTTGACTGCTGCTACTGGCGGTGTGTAACGCTGTTGCTGCTGCTTTGCTATCCGGCCTGCCTGGAAGAGACGCCTCGGGTCAAGCTATTCGCTGGCGGCGGCTCGGCTGCGCGGGTTCAGAAGCAGACGCAAAGCACCATCTGCAATTAGGCCGCATCATGAATTAACCTCTCTTCCTTTCTGTTAAAATGTGACGATTCCGACAAATAGTGCCTGGCTAGGTTTTTTTTCCCCCGTGACTAAGGAGATGTGACCCAACCTTTTTAGGTTTCATCATGGAGAAAATCTGTGTGGTCACTAAGAGTCGACAAGGACTTGATGGCATGTACTGTAATCCTCCTCCTCCAGGAAGTATCTAATTGGATTTCAACCAACTTCCCTTGTTTATCACTGTTTTTCAAGACTAAACTTTTCCCCCTCCCAATACTGAATTGGTAGCATGACTGGGATCCTTTTATCAGCACTTTGCATCAGCACCAGAGTGCCATGGGTTCCCCTTTGATCACACCTTGTTCCCACTTATATTTTAATCAGTCTTACATTTCAAAAAATAATGAAACATTCTTTGTTAATCCATCACAGAGCTAAAAAATATGTACACTTTTATTTTTTTTACATACACATGCACTTGTTGGTGAGGTAAAGTGAGCAGCCTGACTTTGGTCATTGATAGGTCCCTGAAGGAGATGCTTATACCATGGCAGAAATACATGCCACTGGCTATTCATAAATCAACAAAGTGTCCTCAGAATGTCCCCTACTCTGACTCCCCACACCATTTATTAATTAGGGCAGCAACTAGAGTTAGGACAGCAGATCAATATTCTGGCAAGATGTTAATACACCCAGGGCTGAGTTGTGCTGAAGTTCTATAGAGAGTAAAGGCTCTCATTTTTTCTACCTATCATCCATCTATCTTGTTTGCTAAATGATTGTGTCCTTTTCATTATTTTAAGAATGTAAATAGAATAAAATTAATTTAGGAAAGTATTTTAGATTCCATATTTTTTTTTTCTCCTGCATCTAGCATGCTTAATGTCTCCATTAAGGAATTTGCCAGGAAAGCTCATAACAATGTCTGACACTTTTTATAAATGAATTCACCCATTGAATACATTTGTACCTGAAAATCAGGTTTCAGCAATACACCAAGACTAGCAACTTGCATCATTTAGACCTGCCATTCCATCAGCAACATTATATAGTAAAGAAAAAGCAAAAGATGACTTTCTGATACCCATTTGCATTATGCAATCTCTCCTAGTAGGACAGAGTAAAGAGACATCTGCTGGTGAGCAATGCAGCATGTCGCCTCATTTGGTGGAATGTCACTCAAAAAAGGAATGTTCCTAGATCACACATGGAAATAAGCAACAATCTGGCAAGAGCAACATAGTTTGAAGTTGACTATGACAACTGTTCTCTTAATGAATTCTCATCAAGGTTGTTGGAGGCAAAGTTTAACTTCTAGATTTTATTCACAATAAAATGCTAGAAAAGCACATGGAGGCTTGTATAGACTCTGAACTCATTTTTTACAGAATAAGTTCTTAAAATCTGCAGAGAAATAATGGTTGCTATGTTTCAGGAAAACTATCTTTTGGGGGGAGTGTAATCATCAAAACAGTTGCTTACCTTCAGTTTTGGGAGAAAACTATTGAAAATAGCAATAATGCTTGGGAGCAAAGTGAACACTTTCTAGCTTGCACAGTGCTCATGCCAAGTCTTTTGAACAGTTAAAAACAATCCCAGGATGCTAAACAAAGTAGCTGGGTTCATAGGTCACATTAAACTCTAATGTAGTTGTTTAGTTTTGATTTAACATATGTATATCTAGTCAATTGTGGCTTAGCATGCTGGGTGAGCCATGTCAATAGGATGATATCAGCACTGCAGAAGATCACTTTTGACAAGTTAAAACTGTTTGTAGAACTTGGAGCAGCAGATATTTGTAAACGTCAATCTTGTTCCTTAAAGCACTGAAAGAAGTCCAGGAAACCCTGTTATGCACTGGAAAAGGAAGCTCTCTCCAAATGCCTAATTGCTTATACAGGGACTACAAGATGCTGTCTCTCCCAATTCCACAAAGAAAACAGGCTAAATTATTGAAATACAATAATCTTCCTTAGCCTGATGCCCTTCCAGATGTGCAGACTTCAGCTCCCAGAATTTCACAGTAGAATAGCCATGGCTAAGAATTGTGTTGGAGTCCACTCATCCAAGTTGAGAAATTTCAAATTATATGATGGTGGAACCTTTTTTAAAATGTATATTATGCCTACTATTATACCACCTTGTAATGGTTTTCATTTTATTTATTCTTTTCATGGTAATTATTGGTAGCTATCTGTAATTATTTCAAGGTGTGAATATAGCAATTCAAACTTCTTTAATTATAAAGATGATGAATGGATAGTTAGTTCAGTTCTTGTCATCTCTAGACAAGGCAGAGAAAGGCTTTTATCTGAAACCTTGGAGAGCTCTGCCAGTCAGTGGCCAGATTCAGAAGTAATGCTATATCATTATTTGCTCAGCTAATTTCTGGCTGGCAAGTATGCGTGTACCCATTAATCCACTCTGTGGTCCTTTTCTATTAACAAAGCCATGGTGTGAAACTGAGGCTCAGAGATGGCTAGCAAATAATATTGAACTAGATGGATAATTATTATTATTTGTGCCTTCTAGTCAGTTTTTCTTGGCAAGGTTTTGGGGAAGTGGTTTGCCATTGCCTCCTTTCTAGGGCTGAAAGAGTGACTGTGTTATACACGCTGCTCCCAGGTTCGGCTTATCTCACTCACTCACACACTCACAGCCTGTTGAGGGACGCAGATCTTGTCAGCCCCCCTTGCTTTCTACCTGGGTTTTCCAGATACGTGCAGCTGGAGCAGACAGACACACAGCCCTGGTCAACAGCGGGGAAATAATTAGGGATACACAAAAATCACTCACATACTCACAGCCTGTTGAGGCAGTGGATCTTGTCAGCCTCCCTTGCTTTCTACCTGGGTTTTCCAGATAGGTGCGGCTGGAGCAGACAGACACACAGCCCTGGTCAACAGTGAGGAAATAATTAGGGATACACAAAAATCACTCACATACTCACAGCCTGTTGAGGCAGTGGATCTTGTCAGCCTCCCTTGCTTTCTACCTGGGTTTTCCAGATAGGTGCGGCTGGAGCAGACAGACACACAGCCCTGGTCAACAGTGAGGAAATAATTAGGGATACACACAAATCACTTCCAACCGAACACTGAAGCACAAGAGGTTCTGTGTAATACACGGAGACCCAGTGAATTTAAAGTAATAGCAAAACTTTACTGGTTGCAAGGTATATTTGCTCTTTCTCATACACACACACACACACACATACACACTCATCCACACTTACCCACGTCCTTCCCAACTAAGCTGCCAAGCACTAGCCAGGGGGACGGAAGGGAAGCCGCCAGTTTGGATCCAAAGGTGACTCAGATGACTCAGAGTGGGCGGGCTTTGGGACCCC